CGACGACTATTTTTTCCTCTCCTTTCCCTTGCCTTGCTGCCAGGGGTGATCTGAAGGGAGGAGACAGCGCTCTGCTTTTGGGCTCCCAAGCGCTGCTCCCAGGGCTGCCCCCCTGCCCACAGTGCTGCCCAGGAGTGGTGCAGTCCCTGTGGGAACTGGGGCTGGAGGGTGTCCTGCCCACAGCAAATGCTTGTCCCAGCAGCATGCACTGCCCTCCAGGAGTGATGGCATCTCACTGGAGAACCCCAAACCGCCGGGGCTGGGGAATGTTTGGCAGGATCTCTGCTGGCAAAGGGCTGGGCTGAGCAATTGAGGGTGGCTTTGGTAAGGGTGTTTCTGTGGGGCTGGGGCCCAGGAGGCGTCTGCTGCAAGTGCCTCCAGTGCAGATGTGCTGTAATGCCTACAGCTGGCATCTGCACTACAGGCGTCGTAGCATCACATCTTGGGGACAGGCAGGTTGTGACCTCTCCTGCAGGATAGGTGTGCTGCAGTGTCTATGGTCAGCGTCTGCGGTACAGGTGTACGGTACCATCTACAGTCAGCATCTGCAATACAGGTGTGCTGTAAGGTCAACAGTCAGTATCTGCAGTACAGGTGTCCTGTAGTGTCTGCAGTTGGCATCTGCAGTACGGGTGTGCTGTAGTGTCTGCAGTCAGTGTGTGCAGTACAGGTGTATCATAGCACCTACAGTTGGTGTCTGCAGTACAGGCACACCAGAGCATTTGCAGTCGGTGTCTGCAGTACAGGCATAGTGTAGCAGCTACAGTCGGTGTCTGCAGTACAGGCGTACCATGGCGTCTACAGTCACTGTCTGCAGTAGAGATTGTACCAAAGCGTCTACAGTTGCTGTCTGCAGTACAGGCACACCATAGTGTCTACAGTGGGCGCCTGGAGTACAGGCGCTGCAGAGCTCCTTTGGAAGGCTCTAGGCAAGGCTGCAGGGGGGGCGTGTGGGAAGGAAACGACTTAACGGAGCTTTTTTCTCCCCTGGCTCACCACTTCAGAGCCAGGCCCTGTAACAATACCTGGTGGGGAGTTGCCCAACGGAAGACTTTGTCGTGGAGACAATAGGTTTTGAAACTACCACTTTTTTTGTGTGTGAGCCACCCACTTCCAGAATGAGGTCTTACTTATTTATCATTGCTGGGAGGGGGCTGTGGCAGGTGAGAGTTGTGGGGGAAGGCTGGGGTGCAGCCCGTGTCCCTCACCAGCCAGGGATAGCCCTGCCCTGGAGTTGCTGTTTCCAGCTGCCAGTTGGTACCCCAAGTGAGCATCCCCAAGGCTTTGGGGATCCTTCTAAGGGAGAGCTGGAGAGATTCCTCCCTCTGCCTGTTCAGAAGAGGACACTGGGACTGTTCAGCAGATGGTGGCACCCTACTTTTTGTCTGGATACACGATCCCGTTCTCTCTTGCTGCCCACCTTGGGACTGTCCTCACCCCATCACACCTCAGTAGTCACATCACTGTGCCCCTTCAATCCTGCTTGCAGGGGCAGCTTCTGGACTTGTCTTCATGTAGGTCTGACCACAACCCCCTCTGCATAGCCTGATCCAGCTCAGGGAAAGCATGACTGGAAATGCGTTTGGTTTAGACCAAACTGGAGGGGACCATATTCACGTCCACGCTGAGTTGTCTTCTGCTAAGAGTGACCGTGACTGATGTCCTCATTACCCTTGGTGCAGAGGACAAGGCAGGGAAGGATCAACTAGTTTCTCCCAAAACAAGAAGCTGGGGACAGCAAGGAAGGCTGCCGGAGGTGGCTCCAGCTCCAGAGCCACCAGGCCACTGCATCTCATGTGCCCCCTTGCCTCCCTCCGCTCCTGCTCAGGCTCCTCTTTCCCCTCTGGCACCAAGAGATGATTCACTACAGGGTCAAAAGCAAATATTCTCCAACCTCTTTTTCTGCAGAAGGCTGAGTTTCCCACTGCTGGATTTGCTGTGTAATAAATGCAGTTCACCACTATCACCTTTCTGCTGGTCCCTGCCAGAACAGGGATGCAGCCCAGGAAGCTGCACACCTGGGGAGATGCTGCTCACTGGCCCATAAGCCCGCATGCTGGGGTGCTGGCTTTTGCTAGAAAAACCATTAAATGAGCAAATACAGCAAATGGAAATTTGCTTTAGAAGCATCTGCAGAAATTGTGAAGCTTTTGTTATGTGCTTTGAAAAAAAAATCAACATGGCTTTGGGAAAAACAGGCAAACAAAGCAAATACTGCATGCAAAATTGCAATTTGAGTGAGAAAAAGTTGGTTTTCTGGCTAGATTTTTGGCACTAAAATAACTCCAGCTCCTGCCTGATGGCAGGGCTTATCTCTGAGAAGAAATAAGGTTTTGCAGGGTGAAAGCAGCTGAGCAGTGAAGTCTCTGTGCCTGCACTGGGAGCCTCTGCCTGTCCTGGCCATGCCACGGAGTCCCTAGGGACCTCGGCTGGGTCCCTCCTCTCTCTCTTTTTAGACCTGTAGCCAAACAGCATCACCCTTGAGACTGTGAGTGCTTCTGGACAGAAACCATCCCTTGCCACCTAACTGTGGTGCCTGTCTCCACGCTGGTCCAGCCTTGGATGAGGCTGCCAGACACGTGGGTAGGAGCAGCAGCAATTATTTTAACAACTGATGAGGAGCAGCAGGGGAGAGTGGATGGCTTTGCTCCCCGGCAGGACCAAGAGGTAGAGCATGATGGTTGGTGATGATATTTGCACAGGCGCAAGCCAAACCGAAGGCTACAGCGAGCAGATCTCATGCTTTTCAAAGAGCAGAGTGATTGCAGGGGGGTCAGAGGGGATCCTGTCCTGCCTCCCATCATTGCCACTGTCCGCAGAGATGGGATGGCTGCGCTACCTGGGGGTACCTGGACTGTGGTGCGGGGGCGGGGGGGCTCTGGGCCTGGTGCAACTCCTTGTCTGCTTCAATTCCTGGTGCCACCCACCAACTTCCAGGATTGCAGGGAGGGAATATTCAGTGGAAAATGAATTTGGCATTGGTAGGGAGAGTTGGCTCCTGGTTTGCACGCAGGTCCTCCCAAGCTGCTTGGGGGTCCGCATGCCAGCACTGCCCCGGGTTATGGCATTGCCACCTACCTCTGCTCCCGGCCATCACCCCACTCCCCGAGCTGCTGCTTGCGATGGCAGCTAGCGCAGAGGCAGGGTGGCAGCAGGGGGGCCACATTGCGGGCACGGTGGGGACACATGGAGGAGACAGAGCGGAGAGCGTGCACGGGGAAAAAGAGAAGCAGGAGAGAAGAAGCAGAGTGAATGATAACGATGTTGTAATTAGCACTTAGCGCTCCTTGCCCAGAGCTTTCAAAGGAAGGTCACCTTCATTATCTCTGTTTTACAGGCGGGGAAACTGAGGCACAGGGGAGGCAGTGAATGCGATTTGCTCAAGGTGACCCGGGAGGGCTGGGGCTGGGTTGGGAGCCAGGTCTGGGGCTGGCATGTCTGTGCTATGCAGCCACAGCATGCTGGGGATGGCTCTCGCTGCCAGCCTTCCCGGCCCAAACCCAGCACTGCAAATTCAGCAGCGAGGCCGTGGGTCCTCTCTGCCCATCTTCAGGCTCCCCATTTTCAGATCCCCCCATCTCCCTGAGCATCCCCTCCCCTGAGAGGCATTTGAGGCCATGCTGGTCCAGCTCCACCCCAAAATCTGCTCATGATACCGCTCCCAGCCGCTCTTGCCTTCCCCTCCAGCCCTGTAAAGGCTCATGTCCTGCTGCGAACCCAAGGCCATCTGGGCTCCTGCAACAGCCATGTTGGGTAATGGAATATGTTTTGCTGGGGTTTTTTCTCTGGCCAGTACAGCTCCCCCTTTATTTAGGTTTAAATAGATGCCATCTGGCTAACGAGCCCATACTCATGTTCTAGATTAAAAGGCAATCCTCCACGCGTTACTGATACGGTGATGGAGATTAGAGAGGTTTAAACGGTTTTGAAGGTGTAATTTGCTTTTCACGCATGGTGTTATTTACCTCCTGGCGGGTGGGCCGGCATCCCCGATGCTGTCCCCAGCAGCTCCCTCCCGGCTCCGGTCTCCTCTACCAGCCCTGGCTGCAAGAAGAGGAGAGTTCGGGCATCTCCAAGCCTGACAGACATGCGCAGGGCATCCTTGCGGTTGTTGCTGCCGTTTGGGCACTCCCAGGGCGGCTCATTGATGCAGGGAGGATGTTCCCTGCTTGTCCCTAAAGCTCAGCATGCCTCCACCCGGCTGCCTTCTTAGCTGTCCCCTCTTCCACACCTCCCTGCACCCCAGCATCCCCTGGGACACGGCACGGCTCACCGGGACAAAGCAGCCTCTGCCCCTGTCCCAGCCCAGAGAGACAGGGCTGACTGTGGCCCAGCGGGCTGTTGATGGCAGGTGGCTGAGGCAGCGTGCGAAGTCACTGCGAAGGCACCGATGTGGGTTACGCAGTCCCTGGCATGCCCAGAAATACTGCTGCTGTTGCACTGGGCTGGCGGACAGCAGAGTGCTTGGTGCTAGCAGCAGAAGGGGCCGCACCGGAGCAGCAGCTGCCCATGCTGGGATCTGTATCTTGCACATCCTAAGCACCAGCTGCTGCTGTGAAGTGCCTGGGTGTGCTCCCATCTCTTCAAAATACCTGCGCAACCCACTTGCAGGCAGTGTGTGCTCCTAGGGTGATGCTGCAGCTGCCAAGGAGAGCCCAGCACCAGGGTTTGACTTTCTTAAGGGAAATGTTGAAAATGAGACGAGGAAAATACAGCATTTGTGCAAGGCATATTGTAACCTGCGGGCACCTGGTTGTGCTGGCAGCTGCCATGGAAAGTGCCACAGGCTATTGAGTCATGAAGCACGTGCTAGGAAAATGCCTCATTTTACAGTGAGTTCCCCTGTGGCTGAGATGAAGTCTCACGCCGTGGCCATCTCCTTGTGGTCCCATCACGCCCTGCGGCTGCCTGGGAGGGACGAGCTCTTGGCATGCCACGTGTGAGATCTCCTGGGGGCAAACCCTGACTGCTCCTGCCTGTGTTTGCTTCCACAGATGGCTAACCCTGTCCCATCAGCCTGCTGCATGGTGCTCGCCGTGGTGGTGGTGGTGTACGCCCAGAGACACAGCCAGCAGGGTGAGTCTCTTCTCCCACCTTGGAGGTCCTGAAAAATGTGAATGCTGCTCCTCTGGCCTCTCTCCTGGGGCAAGCCAGGTGCACCCTTTTGGCTTGCCTGATACTACGTTTCTGGATGTTGTCACTTTTCTCCTCTCCGTGACACATGCATCCCCTCCTGCCCACTGCTGTGGGGTTTGGGCATCCTGCATCCCCCTCAGTGCCTGCTGGTTCCCCTCGCCCTGCCCACATCCCTGCATGTCCCAGGGTGCCGCTACAGCCAGGGCACCTCTTCCCACCTCTGCACCCCCCCTTTTTTGCATGTTGCCCTGTGCAACCCACCCGTGAAGGGATGAGCAGGTGGGAAGAAGCAGCATCTTGACAGTCCCAAGCCCTGACACCCTACCTGGTGACTGTGTCGGATGCCTCATCCTGCTCTCACCTCCTTGGGGTGACTTTGTCCCCATTGCCATCACACATTGGTGCCCACCACTATCTCGCTCCTCTCCAGGTTAGCAGAGGATTCAGGGCTTACCTTAGTGATGGCTTGAGAGAGACTACATTTTAGAGTCACTGGTGGCATTTGGAGCTGGAGGACCCCACATGATATTGGGTCTAGGCAGGAGCAGAAAGGTTATGTGGGGGACGGTTGGGTCCCACTGTGGGGTCACCTGTGGCAGCCCTGCAAAAATGGGACAAAATGGCGGACCTCCAAAATTCGCTGGCTTTCCTGGCAGTCAGCCTGGCTGTAGTTGCTTTTGGTGGATTATAGGGGGGAATTTTGCTGGTTAACTCCAGTAAGGACATCTGTGCATCCATGGGCTCTGTGGGATTAAGGAACCCAGCCAGAGTACCCCGCTGAGTTGCCCTAAATCCATCTGGGTGGGTTTACATTGCTGGAAGCTGCCAGCTTGGACAGGAAGCAGCTGGGGTTTGGCAGCACGTCCCCATCCGCTCTCCAGACACAGAGGGAGCTTGCTGGGTGGTGTTGCAGGAGCGTTCCTAGCACCTTCCCAAGGTGCCTGCTGAAAGCATTCGGGTGCTGAGCTGTGTGCTCCTTGTGGTGGTGTGATGCTTTCTGCAGAGAAGCAATGCTGCTTGGTCCTGCTCTGCTTGCGGGACTGCTGCCTGGGAAGCCTTGAAGAAGCCAGTGTCAGGGCTGCCAGAGCATCCTTTAGTTGCACCATGCTGCTTCCCTCCATGCTGTGGGGATGGCAGCCCAGACAGGGAGATGTACAAAACACCGAAGTGCCAGGTACTTCAGGATTATGCATACTTGAAATGTGTTGTCTAGACAGAGAAACACACTGGCCAGCACTGGCCAGAGCCATGCATTTTGCTGCTGGCAGCAGCACGCTGGCACAGAGAGCACAGCTCCGGGTAAGGCCCCTGGCCAGGCGAGCTGCAACAACTGTCACCTTCTGCTCTGTGACCCAGCAGGATTCAGGGATTTGGCAGCATAGCCTCCCCATCCCTGTGTCCCTCCTCTTTCCCTTGCCTGGCTGCACCCAGCAGGGAGGTATCTGGGGCACCAGCTTGAAACCAGAGCTGCTGAGACCTGAGGGCATCAACAAGCACCTGAAGGGGGTGCGGGGCATGAGGCAGGGCTCTCCCCATCTGCAGGAGCCAGAGAGACTGCTCTGCACTGGGGGACATAACAGGGAGAGAGGGGGGAAAACTGGGTATAAGAGCTGGAGGAAGGTTTGTAGGGCACTTCCAGGACTGTCCTCGATCTGTTCCCCAAAGGCACCATGTGTTCCTCCTGGGAACCTCTCTGAAACACTGATGTGACATTCTGGGCAGGGACTTTGGAGCTGCCCACCCCACCGTGCCTGGCTTGGGGAGGCTGCACGCGTGCAAGTGAAGTCTGGGAGGATCTGCCCGGTGTTGGAGACCCAAGGGGTGTGCTCCATCCTCCCCAACCAGAGCTCACCCCCTGCCCCCCTGCAGCCTCCCCTCACCAGCCAACCCTGGGGCTCATCCCCGACCAGCCGGGTACTCAGGCTGGAAAAACATAGCAGGAGTGGGGTGGGAGGATGGATTAATCCCACTGGTGGCAGGGACTGGGTGGAGTGGGGGGAGGACGCTGGCATAGAGTCCATTTATCATGCACTTGAGGCACGCTCGTCTTTAATAGCTCATGAAGCACTTTAAGAGATGCATTAGCACTGAATACTTGAGTGAAGAGGATGTGACAAGCTGTTAAGTGAGCACGAGCACGATGCATGGAGCCTGGCCACCGCTTCTGGCTCTCACGTGCACCCTGGTGATTACTGGAGCTCAGGCTCGGTGGAGGTGAGGCTGTTCATGCATTAACCCCTCTGTGGCTCACCTTTGGTCCTTCTCCTTGGAGCTGGCAGAGCAAAGGGTGCATTTGTCTGGGATGTGGGAGCCCAGGATGCTCCCCAGTGTTGGGGGTGAGGTGGGATGGAGAGGCTCAGAGGTCAGCAGGTTTGGGTACCCTCCCTCCCTCTGGTCACAGAGCTCCCTTGCTTAGCATCTGTGGCAGGTTGCTAAAGTTACACCTGCACCACCCTGCTGGGCACTGCTGCTTCCAGCTACCCTTGGGGGTAGGCAATGTGTGGTGGGAGACCAGGGCCATCGCTCAGGGCGCCCCAGGGGGATGCTTGCAGGGTTGCACTAATGCACTGGCTTGGGCATTGGGTTTTGGGTGTCCTGCTGCAGGGAAGGGCAGAAGGGCAGCAAAAGAGGGTGTTCGTGAGGCGCTCTGCCATAGCACAGCCCCTTGTGTCACCCCAACCAGGAGGCATGTGGATAGAGCAGAATGCCTGGCTGCGGGTGGGGGATGCCACCCCCCAGGAGAAACATCCCTGATTTCTCAGGTTGTGTCTTCACCCCTAGAATAGCTCAAGCCATCGAACAGGGATTGCTCCCAGCCCACGTCCACTATGGGGTCTTTGGTTCTGGTGTTTTGGGGCAGCAGGGTTGGGACCACGGGTGCCGCTGGAGCCACCAGTGCTGCTGTCAGACGGGAGTTGCACAGTGCACTCATGGCTAATCCTACTGCTGCTGAACCAGTCACCCCACGCCCCTCAGCCCCTAACGCTGGGTGGCTCTGGCAGGCTCCAACGGCGTGCTGAGCGTGGGTGGGATTGCTGCTGCTCGCTGCTGCTGCGTTGAACGCACACCCTTCCCCAGCCCAGCTGGGGCAGCCTGCGCAGGGTCGTTTTGAACAGCCAGCTCAGTGCTCCTGAATTTAGCAAAGGAAAAGGTGATGCACTGAGTAAAATTGGAAGTGAGGGAAAAGGAGTTGAGGCTTGCAGGGCTTAGCTGCCAGAATAGGTTGGCATAAGGTGATGTTTGGCCCTCCTGCTGGACTCACTGGGCAAGTGGTCCAGGGATGTCCCCCTGGTGCATGGGTAAGCACTAGAAGTAAACCACCTTCAGATGGGGCTGCTGGATGGGAGGCAGCCTGCCTCCAGAGACAGGCATTGCCCTGGTCAGCCACAGGGCTGTTCCCACCAGCACAGCCCCCAGCCAGCACAGAGGGATGGACAGGAGCTGCAAGGAGAAATGGGAGGGGAGAGAGGAGGCAGAACTGGCTAAGACCGTACAGGAGAGCCCGGTGCCCTCACCGTTATTGTGGGTAGCTCAGTTTTCCTTCGTGTGTTTCCTTCTCCAGGCAGTGGTTTCTGCCAATTTATGTCGGCGTGGAAGAAGGTGATGGGGAAAGCTCAGCAGAGCACAGAAGTGATGCTGCCTGCTGCGACACTCGCACCTTTGGTTAGCCAGGGCTCCATCGTGTGAGAGCAGTGCTGGCGGGGGTCCCTGAGGTGCAGAGACCCTCTCCCTAGCAGGGCTTGGGCACCCTCAAAGGAAGGAGAGAGGCCACAGCATGAGCCCTGGGGCTTTGCTAAAGCTCCTTACCTGGGAAGTGTGTACGTGGTGGAGATGCCCAACTGCGTGTCAGGCCATAAAATATATGTGCATGGGTGATTTCAGCTCTTTCTATTCATTGCTGTGACTGCCCATGGCTGGACTTAGCTGTTCCCAGTAGACCCAAGAGCTACAGCAGTCCTGGAAAGAGGGAGCACTGCTTCCCCAGGCTCCTGCCACGACCAAAGCATCTTCCCCATCTGTCAGCTCTCCCAGAGTTATGTCCACGTCTGTCTCAGATTGAGATTTCTCTGCTTTTAAGAGAGGAGTAATTCTGCTTTATTGATCCTCACCTTGCTGAATTAACTCATGTTTAAACAATAATTATGTTTTCACCCAGGAGAGGAGACAAAGAGATAAGCATCTCTGGAAATGAATGCATTTCAGATGCCACATGCTGGGGTTAATTTATTGATGGGCGCAGAAGCTGCTATCTCCTCTCTCACCAGCAACAAGCAATTAGCCCCCATCATTCCTCAACCGAGGAAAAGAAAGAGAGATTTTGTTTCATTACTTTCCCTTCTCTCTTGCTCTCTTAAGCCCTGGCACTAATCTTTTGCAATCGGTTCTGCTGCAAAGCCTCCCGGGAGCTCCAGTTTGCATGCGCCTCGTTAGAAATGCTGCCCACATTTCAGCTAAGACAAAGCCTGGGCCGGTAAACAGCCTTCAAAATGCACAGCAAAGCCATGCAAATTGGCTTTTCAAATAGAAACCAACTGTAGATATCTCCCTGTCTCCCCTCCCCACATTGTCCAATGTTTTCCGTGTGGCATTTGTTGGCTGATGGGGATGCAACCAGCTCTTTTTGGACTCTGCTTCCTCCCACATCAATCAGCCCATGCAACTCCCCAGGGCATCTGCCTGGCACGGTTAAACTAGTTGCTTTGCTTTTGGGGGTATTCTCTGGGTTTTCTGTGTAGGAGATGGTTTGTAGATTCATGCAGGAACGTGTGGTTTGTTTGTAGACATCTGAGTAGGTTTTGAGATTGTTGCGCAAATGCTGTTCAGTTAAAGTGCCTGGATTCAAGTGGCATGATGAGCTACCTGGGCCTGGAAGCTTGGTCTTCTGCCCATGAGTGTGCAGGGGTGGTGTGCATCCAACCTACAACAGCACTGCAGGAGTA